AGCAGTAGCTGCTTTTTGCCTTTTCTCATTTCCGTTCTTGTTTCCTCCCGCTGTCGTCATTGTTAATAGTAGCAGTTGTAGTGCGCTGCGCTGCCGCCGCAGCGGCCGCTGATGCTGCAACTACTTCTACTGGCGTGGTCTCATGCCTGATACTGCAAGCTGGTGAGATAGATCTTTGAAGTGCAAGCACTAGATTGGGAGATAATTACGGACTGTGCTGCCGAATATCATGGTGACGGCGGTGACAGGGGTTGACTATGATGCTGATGATGTTGAGGAAAAGTGCCCGGGACTCTCGTGTTTTGCCTTTTTATTCTGGCTTGTCAGCCGGGGATCTTCATCACCTCCTCCTCGTCCTCAGCCTGGACCTGCATGATGGGCCCAATGGTAGAGCAGGTGTCGAAGTCTTCGGTAGCGGCCTCAGAGGTCTCGGGTCTCAGGGTTGCAAGGGGCGAGAAGTGCTGGGAGTGAGGGAAGGGCTGCAGACATGTAAGCAGAAGGTTTTGTGTGAACCTATAAACCCCAAACCCCAAACGGAGGGTTCACCAGGGCTTCAGACCCATGCAAGTGGACAATGCTGCTCTTTCGCCGTTCTGGGGGGGGGGGGGCAGCTGGAAGCTCGATAATGAGTATGCCGCGAACCCTAAGTTTAGGGTTTAGGATATGGTTTAGGGTTTGGGGTTGAGGGTTTAGGATTTTTTTTTGACACCTTTTTCCGACTGCACCATTTCTGTTACTGCCGGAGAGCCCACATAGGTTTGGGGTTTTTGGGGTTTAGGTCCTAAACCTACAAGCTTTAGAGCTGGAAGCTAGAGAGTGAGTAAGGCGTATCTGGGGTGTCCCATCTTGCGACGCACTCAGCCCGAAGCGGCTCGCCAAGGATCTAGAACACTAGCCTCTAAGCCCAAAACCCCGCATCCTACACTGTTGAAATTCGTTGGCCCAGGGTACCTGTACCTTCACAGAAGTTGAATCAGTGCCGCGAAGAGGCATTATCACTACCTGTGCAATAAGCCTGAAGTGCTTCAAGTGTTTGAAGGTAGCCCTAAGCCCGATTGAAGTCGCGGCCCCTCACCCTGTATGAAGGTGCCAAGATTCCTTCCGCCAGTTTGCATACTCTTGCGACTGCTGGAAGCTGGGGTTGTATTTCTCCGCAATAGCCATCTGTGTTGTCGACACGTCCTCGTCATCCCGCCACAGTCGACTCAAACCCCGAACCAAACCGTCAACCTCCAGCCACAAGCCTGGCGCCTGCTTCTGAACCCTACAACCCCAAACCCAGGTCTAGGGATTTGGATGAGGAGGAGGATTCAGGTTTAGAGTGAACCCTAACCCTAAATCTGTAGGTTTCCCCTTTAAAGGGCCTTAAAAAGCCCTTCTGTTTCCCGTTTGAAGGAATCCGGAACTCTTAGGGGTTCAAGGTACCAGCAAAGCGTTAAACCCTAAAGTTCGCAAAAAGCTGAGGTCGCCTGGCACCATGCTTTACTTCACAGTACAAACAGTCATAAAAGCAAAAATCGTGATACTACTACTGCTACTACTACTCCTACTACTACTGCTGCTACTACTGCTGCTACTGCTACTGCTACTGCTACTGCTACTGCTAGTACTACTACTACTACTACTACTACTACTACTTTATACTACGACGACGACGACGGCTACTACATACACCGAAAACCTGAAAACCTGTTCCAGCTATGTAGGTCCCATATTGCTGCATCGTATGCGATGCAATACAAGCCGACACTTTGCAAACTCTGATAGCTCCTTGACTCCTAAACCCGAATTGCATATCGCCCTTCCTGGTAGTTCAAACTGCGCAGCAACCGTGTGCTTCCGCCCGGGGTGCCCTCCCCTACCCTATGTTGCCTCAGTTAGGCTTGAAGCAAAGTCAAAGTCTTATAGCGGCCATGATCATTCATTATTCATCACTCTTGTCCAAGCGATAGCGTCAGCCTTAAGCGTGCTTTCTTTGTCTCCGGAAGTAGCACTATAGGTCTTTGGCAGGTACTTCTGCCGGTCGCAAACGCAGCGGGTCAGAATCTCCAATTGAAGGGCAGGCAACCCTGAACCCTAAACTAAGGTGCGGGGTTCGGCACGGAAGTCCCACTGCTGCCCCTGTTTGCCCATGACTACTGCCGCCGCATTGCTGTTCGATCTGCTCTGTTTGCTGCCGCCAATGCTAACATGCAATATAAGCCCTGCAGCCCAAACCGTGCCCCAAATGGAGTCGACCGAGACATTCTGCATCACCCATACAGATGCACACTCTCACTGGTACTCTAAGAACACTTTTGAAGCATTTGGAGCGTTCGTCTTCCGGTTTTGTGGTCTGCTTCCTGTCTTAGTGTGTTTGGGGTTTTCCGGCGTAGAGTTCCGGTTGAGCGCCCAGGCCCTGTACCACCATATCAGGCCCTAAACTTCAAGCAAAGAACCCAAAAGTCCAGCCGAGGCTCCATCTTCTTCACCAAATCCTCCAGGAGCCTTGCGTTTTCAAACATTAACTCGCCAACATCCCGGATGAGGTGGCTGGCGTCATGTCCTTGCCACGGACGAGAACCCTAAATCCTCAACCTTGAAACCTAAACCTGAAACCCTAAACCGTACTCTGGGCCCCTTGGCCCAAAGGGCTTTGTGCAGGGCACAGGGTTTCGACTCAGAACCCTCCGTACGTCTTGAGCTCACGTCCCTGCTTTCCTGAGTGCTTGCAATGCCCTCAACTTCCCTCAACCCTAAACCTTAAACTCTAAACCTTAAGCCCTGAACCTGAAACCCTAAGCTCTAAGCCCTAAACCTCAAACCTTAAACCCTAAACTGTAAACCCTAAACCCCAAGACTCTAGAGCCTAAGTCCCCCAGCCCACCTAAACCCTGTAGCCTAAATCCCTGCGCTCATTCCACTGAAGCTTCCATGAGGAATTGTGTAGACCGCGGGGATAGCAGAAGCCACAAAGAAAAGCTGTCGTGTAAGGGTTCCTTAATGGACTTAGGGTTTATGGCTTCTGGTTCCTGGTTTTCACAAGTTTGTGGCTTATGGGGCTCATGCTTCGGGTTGGAGATTCTACAGTGCGCTTCTCAGCCTTCTTGCAACTGTCTCGTCTCCGCGCGATACCTCACCTTGAACTCCCGACGTCTGAACCTTAAACTCATCATGAGGCCTAGAAGCCCCTTAAAAGTGAGCCTGTAAATCCTACCATAAGAACCCTAGGGAAACCCCGACAGTTGAGATCCTAAGGTCCCAGCTGCGTCCCGAACAAGACTCCCTGCCGAAAGCAGGGAAAGTCCATACCCTACATCCGATGCCTCCTGCCCGTGGCCATAGGGCTTAGCGTTTAGCCTCAAGCCTTAGCCCCAATCGCAGCCGTCGCATAGTGAAGTGAAGTCTAGGCTGCTTCCTGCGGCCGATTTCCAGAATCTGAGAACCCAACCCTGAAACTGACCCAGCGCAAACAACCCCAGTGAAACAATGGGGTTTAGGGTTTAGGGCCGTGCCACCCGGAACTTGTCTTCCCCTGCCTCGACACGGAGAACCCTACACCAAGCTCACTACCTTGAACAAGCCTCCCTCCCCCCCCAATTAGGGATTAGAGTAGCCTTCAATGCCGAAATTCTACAGCCCCTAAACCTTACGTGCAGCCCCGGCGACGCAGGGTAACGCTTCCAGGGGAGCATTCAGTTGGCCGGTGCCCAGGCTCACGGACGAACTTGTCCTTGTGGTTGAGCGTTTTCAGGTTTTTGATCGTATGTGACAGTATGCGTGCGTGTGTATATGCGTGTATGTCTGTGTGTAGTTATGTCTGCCTGTATGTATGTATGTATGTATGTATGTATGTATGTGTGTATGTATGTATGTAGGTACGTATGCACTTAGGTACGTATGTGTATACATATATATATATATATAGAAACATAAGCATATGAAGGGATGAACAACTTTCAAAACAACTATTTAGATAGCATACAGCATACATGTATGGGTACAGGATATAGTATACAGTGTAGATCGATATGCGATTTCTTTCACCTCGTGCTTTGCCGAAGCAATGCTGTATTACTGAGCCTTTTGTCTCAACCCTGCCTTACATCCAAGGCCCGCAACCTTAAACGCAGTGCGCTATACCGTGTGCCCTAAGCCCCCAAACCCCTAGTCCCCGAAAACTTTTCACGTTAAACCCCAAGTCCTAGACCCTAAACCCTAAACCCTAAACCCCCAACCCCCTAAACCTCAAACCCCAACCCTAAGCCCTCAAGCCTTGAGCTCCAAGCCGAAAATCCCTCACCCCTGCCACCCGAAGCTCTTCAAGGTGCAGCCCTTGACCTTATAGGGTAGTATGGGGGTGTTAAGAACTGCAAAGGGGTGCCGGCTTACATTGCAGTCCTAGTGAACAGAATCTTATTCATAGTTGTTCAGACCTCCAATACAGTAGTGTTGGTTTGAAGCCAGGCTTTCCTTGTTAGCCTCCCCAAATCAAGCCGCGACATCAACACTGATCTATATTCCTCAAGGGAACCTTTATACACCCACCAAAATCTTGGAAGAAACCTTGAATCCTAACGTGCTCCCTATACAAAGCCCATCAAATCCTCAGATACTACCCGGCTTCATCTCCCTTCGAGATGCCCTAGCTAGGGGCATCATTGATTTTGATAGTCCTTTGGGTCCTATTTGCAACTTCCTCTTATCGTCTCTACATAGTTCGCAGTCATGAGCCTTACCAGTCTACAGCACAAGAGGCTTTAAGAATTGAGATGAGGAAGGCTCTCTAGGTGTTCTAGGTGTACACTTCGTAGTATTTAGGGTTTGCGGTGCCGGTCTTCCTGCGACTCAGCGACTGACAATGCGTGATCTACGGGCAGTTTTGACTCACGCAGTTGAGTTGCCACTTGCGCCCCTAATGGCTCCGGGCGCGGCCATAAATAAATCTTGGACCCTTGACCCTAAGCCGCAAATCCTCAGCAGTCTCTTTTTAGCTGGACAGATGTTTCTGCCAAAGTCGCATACATGGCAGCCAAGAGCGAGAAGGCAGTTTCGCCTTCGGATTACCAGAGTCTGTCGTCTTAAACTCAGAGGTGTGTGATTGGGGTTCTACAAAGGGTTTTGGAAGTCTTATGCAGCTTTCATCTCATATGGGGTTTGAGAAGGCTTTCCTAAAACAACAAGGGGTTCCCAATTTTTAGGGGCCCTGTAGAAAGAATCCTATTTTGCAGTCTTTATGCTCAGGTGCTGTCTTTCCGAGACCCGCAAAATGACCGTGAAGTTGAACGTTCACACGATGTCTGTTGCCGGGTTGAAGGTTTATGGATCAGGGAGGGATGTTATGGCTGCCCTTATACAGCCCCAGGTGGTAGGACAAGCTTCGGATGCTTCTACGACGGTCAGTTTGGTGGTCTTGAATCCACAAACCCGTAATATAGGGGCTGAATACTTTTAGAAAACATTCCGCTATAATCCTTTCATCGTGTAACCTAGCCGCCTAGCCCCCGTCGCTTCCTCAACAACACCCTTTGCTAGCATTACGCCGCCTGTGCTGCGAAACCGTACACGCACCCTAAACCCCTACGCCACAGGGATTTGCGCAGAAAACAAAGGACATTGTATAGAACCTGGAACAGCAGGATTCTGAATACAGAACAGAGGCCCCAATCAATCTCAAGCAGCCCGCACCCCTACCGGCGGTTATCATAATTGTTCCAGGCGGCTGATGAAGGGAAAGGAAGGCAAGTTGATGCTGAGACGCAGAGCCATGATCTTGGCATTCTCGGTGGCCCCTGGCCACGTGTCGTGATCGGAAGACACTACGAATTCCCAAACCCAAGACCAAGTCCCGAGCTCTGGTTCTAGGGGTTTGGGGCTTGTTGGACCTCAAACGATGCATCTTCGGCATGTCGAACGAACAGGGCACTTGAACTGACATGCCGGGCTGGAACACAACGAAAAATCAGACCGATCACCCAAAGAAGTTCCAAAGCTGCAGTGTTCTTGTGGGTCGTGTTAGGGGTTTTAGAGCTTAGGGTTTCGAATTGCGTCCGCTCCCTCCGGCACCTTGGCAATCCTTGCAGCGAGGCACCCAGATATACCTGAGCTTGCGGAGCATCACCAACCTAAACCCTAAACCCTAAAACCCCTAAACCCTAAAACCTAAACCCAAAGGCTTGAGGCCTGCTTGCCGACTTTTCTGTTCCGATGCGCAGTGGTCATCGCCAGGGTGTTGAAAGTCCGAGAAGGTAGCGCGCAGCATTCTTGGGATTTTTGAAGGGTTTGGAGCACTTCGGGGTTTCGGCTCTGTATAGTCTTCAGGAGTGGGACTCAAATGCGCCTCGCTGGAAAATCCGCAACAAACTGGAGAACTCGGGAACAAGAAGCAAATAAGCTAGAAGCAAATAAGCTACATGTACAATCAGCTTTACAATCTGGCTTTGTTAATTTACACTAATAATTAAATTAAAACGACATACACCAACTTGAGGCAACTGAACTTCGTTCTTTTCATCTTACCTACCAAGTCCCCTCTCTCTCCCTCCAATTAAGCCCCCAGCACCCGGGGGTCTGCTGCTGTGCCAAAAACATGGACCTTTAAAGCCTAAACCCTAAATCAGCCAGTGACCACACGTGGAGTAATATGCAGGACAGAATAGTTAGAGATGGTACAGTCGCTAAAAGAGGTCTAGTATAGTACCCAAACTAAACCTTCTCCGACTTACTAAAGCCCTTTTGTTTCAGTCACAGATGCTTGAAAGGACGCCCACACGCAGAAGCTCTAAGCCCCTAAACCCCAAACCCTCAAGACATCGAACCCCTGCAGAATCTGTCCCGGGGATCCTCCAACGAACCCTTAGAGGAATGCCCAGCTCAAGCGTCGACTCACTGGGACCCGGGGTTAGGGTTTTGGGATCCTTGCAGGCAAGGGTACTTGATCATTTCGGATAGTGATCCGAAGCACTCGGAATTCCTGAAGCGCAGTTGCTGGTTGAGCGTTGTTTGGGGGCTTGCAAGTTCACTTCGTAAGCGCCTGGGGCTTCCGATGTCGTCTAGGATTGCAGATGGGGTTTGTGAGAAGCCTGCTTTAAGGTGCGGCAGCTTGTTCACTTCACTAAACCCTATAGTTCAGCTCCAAGGCCTTCAATCACGTCTTGGGGGCTTTAGGACCGCTAAACCCTAGAGCCTGAATGCTGCTAAACCTTACATCCCTATAACCCAAGCCCGGTTCTAAATATTGAGGCTGCTACAAGACACCTTCGCAACCCAAAAACCTTCACTTGACAACTCAACTCCGAACGATTCAGAAGGGTTTTGGCGTGTAGAGTTAAGGCTTCTAGGAGATAGGTCTGTAGAGTTCTGAAAATTTGGTTTCGAAGGGCGTAGGGCGCGGCTTGATTTTTTAGGGTTGGGGGCTTCGTAATGATGCCAAATATCTATGCTCACCAATAATCCTGGGGAGCCCTATATAGAGTTACCACAGCCCTAATACAATCCTAAATCCTAAACCCAAAAACCTAAACTCTGAACCCTAAAACATAAACTCTAAACCCTAAAGCCTGATACAAACCCTACTTGAGATACTGTTCCGTGCACCAAGGATTTTTTCGGGGACCAACCCCACCCTCGACCGTAACTGCGACCCACAGATCCCTCTGTGCATCTCAGAGTCAGAAACCGGTGGTTCGTAGGGAACCCTTTATATACATGTGCTTGTATTTTCATTGTCTGTCTCATCGTTTCTATTGTGCGGCTTTTCGCATACCTGCTATACTGTATATCATCTGTTGTGTACTATCTGTTATGTATGGTATATTTTGTAGTCTTTATACTGAATATTTCATAAATCTCGTATATTATGTGGTCGGTCATTTATGTTATGTGTATATATATATATAGACTACCGACTATAGACAGTACAGTATACAGTAAGAAAACTTGTATACCGCCCTTATAGAACAGTGATGCAACCCAGCCCTGGTTGATACTGAGTCCCAGCTGCAGGCACCAGTAGGCATGCGCATAGTCCTACAACCCGATGCCGGTCCGGAAACCTTTCTGAATCAGGAGCTTGTTCTCGTGCCCCAAACTATATGGGTAGTTATCAAAATTAGGGTCCCTTTTAGGGTCCTCTTTATCAGGGTGCCGTATTATATTGGGGACCAAAAAAGGGACCATAATTTAGAAAACTACCCATATAACTATACCCAGACCCTATACCAGCTGGCCCTGACCCCCAAACCTAAACCTTGATTCCTACACCTTAACTAACCCGAACATCGGACTCCTGTCTTCCCTCGCCAATTCTCCTCCTACAAAGTCTACTTCCAATATACAGCCCCAGAGTCAGATACCAGTAGTAGGACGCCCCGACATCCGCAGACATCGGAATGACCGCCTTTGTGATGCTCGCGCCGGCCTCGCTCCAACAAGATTTCGGGGGAGGGGAAGAACTCTAATGCAGAGCTCCAATAGTAGTATACGGCTTTTGGGGTGCCTTTTAGTCTAGTCATAATAAGGGGAGGAGAGAGAACTCCAACATGGGCCTTAATAACTAGTATACCTATGTATACCCTGTAACCGTAGTATAGTCATAATAGTCAGGAGCTCTGAGGAGTAGTATCAGTATTTACTGAGACTTCTGTATGGCATGAGGCCTTTGGCGGTTCTTCAGTAGTTCGGACTTGCGGAGGTTCCAGGGGCTTTCAAGGATTTTTGCCATTGGCGTTCCTGAAGTCTAGGGATCCAGGCTAAGAGATGGGGCCTTCAAAGGGACCTACTGCAGAAGAATCCCCCCGTTGTCCAGGGTCTTTCACCTCCCCACGCAAGTTTTCCAAAGCCCTGAATGTGGGAAGTATAGGGGGGGCCTACGGGAAAAGGAGTTTGCGGTAGGTGGAAAACACTTGTCTAAGTTTCTGAAGCCCTGCACCCTTGAAGTCAATGAACACCCTAAGCCCTAAACCCATCATCTCCAGCAAGAACAAAACGGCACAGCCCACGAGGATCCCGCGCTCCATCCCAGTGTGATGCCGTTGACTCCATGGGGCTCCGGAATCCATGGACCTTAGCAAAGCTCGTGGCAGCTACTCACTTCAAGTGGGTCGTTCTCCAAAATAGGGTCCCCTTTTGGGTCCTTAATATAATACGGCACCTAATATTTAGGATACCCCAAAAGGGACCATAGTTTTGACAACCACCCAAGTGTATTTTTCACTTCCTTGGCTTATGCCTCGGGTTGGGTTGTGGTTTAGGCTTCTAGGCTCAGGGCTTTCGCTTCAGCGGTGTTCTCCATGATTCGTCATCGCAGCGGTGTTGAAGCATGGATAAGAGCCCCACACCCTAGAACTACGCATCAGCAGGAAAGTACATGGTGTCCAATATCCGAAGGAGGCCTGCTTGATATTCTCCAAAAAACGCTTGCAATCCATCCCACAGCCTAATCTTGAAACTCCTAGATCGCAACATCCCAAACTCTAAACCCTAAACGCCCCAACCCCCAAACCCTACACTTTGAACACTATTTACTTACCAGGCGTTTGGGGTATACTATACTATAATAAGTATAACAAGCAGCCCTGAGGAATCATGCTGGTGCTCTTTCAGGCCCCCTGTTTCCCAGGGAAAGGTTCAAGACTGTCCTAGCCCAGTATCAAGAAGGCTAAAGGCCCGGGCGAAAATGGGAACAAAGCCCTGAAGAATGCAAAATCCGATGCCAGGGAAGAAAAGGCGATGGTAATTAGCATGAGAGCTTCTAGAAGGATCCAACCCTAAACCCTAAACTTCCCTAAACCCCTCCATAAGGGCCCCTTAAGCTCTTGCATTGTCCGCAGAAATTCCCGAACCCTGGGGCCTGGGATGGAATTGTCCGCGTCCGTGGCGAATGTAATGCTCAAGCCTCAAGCATGGAAGGGTTGTGCATCAGCGGTTTCGGGTTTACGGGTTTAGGGAATAGCACACCCTGAAACCTCAACCGTAGGGATCAGGGGCTGCGGTGTTGGGATTTGGCGTTCGGCTGGGGCTAAGGATAACAAACCAGGAGACGGCAGTGCCAAGTTTCTGGACAAAGCCTGTTCAGTACACCAGCCTTGTGATACCGATCTTCAATAATGAGTCACACGACTATGCTGGAAACGCCATACATGAAACGAAAGTCACTCGGTTGAAATCGCAGGACACGAGCACAGGAACACGTCAGCACACGCGCTTGCAAAACCACTTGTGGTAATGCATGAGTAGTTCTCTGAATTAGGGTCCGTTTTGAAGTCCCCAACTAGCAAGAAAACTCGTCAACACCTGCACGACGCTGTCTACGGCTTCAAAATTAGAGAAAACTTTGTTCTTAGTCTGCCGATGCTTACTACGAACTGTAGACCGAGTTGTACAAATCTGTACAGATTCGCTGGAACCCTGAACCCCGAAATCGACACCCGACCTTCGAAACAGCACGTAAACTGAAGCTTGCGAATGTCGTTTCTGCCTGAAGCTAAGTCTTGCTCAACGACGCCGTTTAGCCGGTCTTAAACAGTAGACATCAGCAGCCAGACCCTGAAAACCTTTGACATTACATCCTAAGGCGTTGAAGCCTCAAAGCATAAAGAACCGACGCCCCAAAGGGACGCCAACATATAGCACAGACATGCGGATACCCTCTCGTTCTTATCAGGCGGCCGACACCGTTACCCGGATTTCTAAATGCCCTTAAAAAACACAGCAAGAGACCTCCGACATGTTTATCACACGATCTACAACACTCTAAACTCTACCCCTAGAGCCGGAGCCCTAGACCCGTATGAATCCCTTTGAAACCCGGTTAGCTTGAGCCCTTAACGGAGCCCTTAAAGGAGCCTTCAATCTTAAAGCCACGTGCTCTTCCCCACCGAGCCCCGAACCGGCGTTGAGGCCGAAGATGGAAGGTGAGAGCCCAACGCCGGTGTAGAGGCCTTGTCGTTGGGGTCTTCTCTGGATCTATGAAGGTTATTTTTTTTTAAATCAGGTTGTTTAAATTGTTTTCAGGTGATTGTAACAATTGTTGCGGGAGTTTTATATAAGGTTTTGTAGAGGGTTTCATGGTTTCGTATGGGTCCGACAAGGGGTTCAAAGAGGATTGCGGGGTTTTGAGGGCATTGCAGTTATGCCAGTTATGCTGTGTTACAGGCTTTGCCGTTTTGGTGTATTTGTTTGGGCTTCTGGTTTGGGGTATAGAGTTGGGGCTTTGTGCTCCCCGAACAGAAAAACCTTAAGCAGCTCGTTATACTCCGCAAAACCCTACACCGTAAAGCCCCATGCCCCCAAAACTTCAGCTGTTGTGGCATTCGGACATTTTGGGTGCGGTTGTACGTGGGCATGGACGGTTTTGGGGCTTCTGGGGTTGTCGGCTCGCCGTCAAAAGAATGCAGGCAATAGCACTAACACCAGCAAATCAGGCGTAGAGTGGGTGCGCAAGTATGTAAGGAAGCAGACGAATGAGCAAGCAAGAACTCTGGATAGGGTTGAGGAGGGGGGCCCCTCAACCTCGGCTGTGCCCGGACCGGGGTATTCGTGAGTAAGCTCAACTTGAGGGTACATACCGGTGCTCCAACCGGGGTTCCCCTACCTGAACCCTAAACCTTACACCGTAGGTTTGGAGTTGAAGGACACGAACTCAAGACCCTGCACCGCACTTTCTGCATACATCCATGTTACAACAGCCGAACATCCAGATTCCTGGGGTTCCCTTGAAACCCTAAGCCTAAACCCTGAACCGTAAGCCTCCCGGGAATCCTAAACGGAAGCCGGCAACCGATCGGCCAAGAGCTACTAAAGTCGAAGATTTTGTCGGGTTGATATAGAGGCCTGAATAACTAGAATAAGGGTTTTGGGGCAAACTATACTAGAGCCATATAAGGACTATAAAGGAATAATGTTGCTAATGATCCCGACCTCTATACTGGGCTTATGAAGGTTAAGCAGATACGACTTCAAGAGCAAAGCCACCACTCCCCAAAGCAAAAGCAGCGAGCCTGTCACGTACGCCTCCTGCAGGGTCCAGTTCTGCTTGTAGCCTGATGCTGGCTTGCTTCTAGCTTGCTCACGGGAAGGGGTATGATCACATTGCGACATGCCCTAGGCCGTGGCTGCTTTTGGAACAAAGCATGCTGGCCTTGCAGAACTGGGGGCAAGGTGTAGGGGTCACTGTGAGGATGCGCCATAGGCCCAAAGAGGCACATGCCGAGGCATCCGACATTCTGCACCTTGAATCCTGAAAGCACCTGCAAACCCTTGACAAAGGGTTCACCAGCCACAGAAAACCTCAAAGGTCGAACTTCTGCGGCTTCTTGGAATTACCGGGTTGCGGGGCACGCCGCAACCTCTAGCTTAAGGCTGCGTGCTACGGCCGTAAACGCTTGAAATCATCAGCGCGAAGCTGTCAGTTGACTTGTTCCACATGGGGCGAGTGATACAAACTCAAAGCGCAGAATAGGTAGGGCCGAGGATAACTTTATCAAGCCAAATGCCTTAGCAGGGATCACCCTGCAGCAAAACTTTGGAGCTATCCCGCGGATCCCATAAACTCCAAATCGCATCGACGCATTCTTCCTAATCCAAGTGGTATTGAGAGGGGAGCATCTTAGCCGACCTTGTAAACCCTCGCAGACAGCTCCTAAACCCTAAACCCCTAAACCCCTAAACCCTAAACCGTGCGTTTAGGGTTTAGGGTTTGGGTCGGGGATTCAGGATCCACAGTTGAAGGGAGAACAGGGCTGGGGTCCAGGAGGCGGCTCTTCAGGGGAGTGGGAGCTGAAACCTTAGCCCCTTACTTAGTTGCTGAGTTCATAAGCACAAAAACGTGTACACTTTCATATGATCCCAAAAAGCTTCAAGTGCAGTAATTCAGCTACTAAGCTTATTGTGGGTTGTGCAAACGTCTTGTGGCAGCTCACAGCTGGCCTTTCCATCCGACACCGGCGTAGCCACCTAAACTCACGCCCGTCACGGACGGTCCGAAGAAACCAGTTCCCCACCTGAGTCAGTGGAATAAAAGGGGTCTGAATAACTAGGTTAAGTTTATAAAGGCTTTCGAAATTGACTAGGGCAGCTGCAGGATCTTGTGTAGGACTTTCACGAGCTTCGAAAGGATTTATAGTATAGGTGCCTTGATACGCAGATTACTGTTTCTAGAGCGGTAAGATGATCTGCAAGGATTTTATAGGCCTTTAATTTAAGGGTATTGGAGCCTTATCATAGTGAGACTAGGGCTGAGCGGATGTCTTGCAATAGTTTTATGAAGGAATCCTCCGGAGTAGTGTTCCTACTGATTCACGCTTCAAACCATAGGGACACTACCAAAAAAAGGCCTTGGCAACTCAGCGTGATACATCCTGTCGATGGCTCCATTTCTCTCGCAAAAGGTATGGTTGAGCAAACCAAGCCAAAGCTAGCGGGGCGGTCCCTAAGCCTGACTTTAAAGCCTTGCTGATGTTCAGAGTTCGAGGGTCTATGGTTTGGGAGGTCAGGGATGTCGAGACTCAGGGTTTAAATTAAGGATTTAGGGTTTCAGGGTTTAGAGGTCTTGGAGATTCAGACAGTGATTTCAGGTTCGAAGCCCCAAATTCGAAAACCCTAAACCCTAAACCCTAGACCCTAAACCCTAGACCCTAAACCCTAGACCCTAGACCCTAAACCCCAAACCCTAAACCCTAGACCCTAAAGCCCAAACCCTAAAAACTCGGGCCAGGCGGCTTGAACTGTGCGATCTCACGGTTCCGGAAATCGATCACCTGGAGGGCTTCAGGGCAGCAACTCTTTGTCGTTTACCTACGAGGCGTATCGGGTCCTAGAGGGGCCTATACGGGATCTAGAGTAAGGTTTAACGCTTAGGGCTGAAGGCTTGCTAGAAGAATCAGGGGTACTTAGTGTTGGTGAGAACGGGTTCTGTGTCAATTTTCGAGCCAGGGTCAGGGTATGGCAGGGTTTGGGGCTTTGGGCTCAACTTGAACACTTACCATCTACTTTCTAAGTCCCGTGATCTTGCCAAGTCCCATGAGTGAAACCCACGAACCATCTCAGGCACGTTTTGATCGTGGGTCAATGAACAAACTCACCTAATTGTGTATGTGTATATGTGTATGCAAATACACATATGTATATATATATATATATATTTTTTTTTATAGATACGTCGATCTTGCATCTGTCCCTAAACCTAGACTTAAACTTTTGAAGCCAAAATCCTAAATCCGAAACCTTCCTAAACCTCCTGAAGCCCAAACCTCTTAAACCCTAAACCCCTAAACCCCAAACCCCCAAACCTTAAATTCCTTTTCCGGGTGCCTCCTCGAGTCCGGCACCAAGGCCCGCTGCTGAGACGCCCACGCCGCGGATGCCAAGGTTTGGGG